ACTAACATCAATCGCGAGCTAGAGCCATGGGGCCTCCCTCCACGTCCGCAGCCCTGCCTTTCCTCGTCACTCGTGACACCAAGCGTCGCAGCCACCTTGCAGCATCCTGGCAGGCTTCGCTCAAGACCACAACGAATCTTGCGAATCTTCTGGTCAAACACGTCCACTTTCCTGTTGCCAGGATCGCACACACGGTGCTTCCAAAACCACGCCGTCGTTGCGTTAGGAAACCGATGAACGGAAAGGCGAGATCAGCTTAGCGGGAAGTTGACGGTGCAGCAACATGCGTGTCCTCGGGCGGACAACGTCTCCAAATTTCAACAAGTTCAACGCTTTGGTAGCGCTTGCGACCAGCTGCTTAGCATGCATTTCGCTTGTAGCGCCGCTGAGCTCTGCTGCACAGTCTCACTCACCGCCCATCTCCGTCTCGCTGCAGTCTCCATGGCCGGCAACCCCTCTGCTGCTGGAGATCCTCGAGGCTGCGCACACTCAGGATCCCGATAGCTTCTGGCCACTCTTAGATCGTCTCACAGATCAATCAGTTGTGCTAGATCGCAACGCCTCGGATGAACGCACCTACAAAGCAGCTGTACAGGCGCTCGACGATGCTGGGCTGCTCGAGAAGCTGTGGGATCGCCAGCTGTGGAATTGGGCGCTGGCTATGCATACAGAGGCCCCAAAGGTGACCGCTTTCTGGCAAATGTATAACAGAGGCGGTGCGGAGGAGCGCTGGTCGAAGAGATCACAGGAACCGGCAGTCGACTGCGGAAGCTGGGTAGCATGGGGACAAAAGGTGCTCTGCACCGCATCGGAGGTGGCAGAAGCCTTAGGTACGGGCTCTGAAGCCGAGTGAGTTTCTCCAGGGCTGATTTGGTGCTACGGAGCGCTGAGGGCTGATGGCGCAAATTTGGCTCGAAGCACAACACTCTTGGAGGTGCCTTTCGACCACATCCGTCACTCAAAGCAAGGTGCGCCAGCATCATCTGGCTTAGCAAAGCCGCGTGTAGCCATCCTATACGCGGACCCTTACTCTGCAAACTTTAGGTCTCTGCATCAAGAACTGAGTAGACATGTTTCCGCTGATCAAAGCCCAGCGTTGCGATACGTGCTGAGGTGGAAAGCTCCTCGGGCGGAAGAAGCTGCCATATCTCCAGCTCTTTTGGCAGGCTATGGCGCGACTTTGGATTTAAAAAAGGTGGACTACCTCGTCATCGATGATCGTAGAATCAAGGAGTCCGCGCTTGCCGATACGGTACAAGGGAAATCACTCCGGTCAGCCCAGTCTGAGGGCGACTTGACCGAGCGCGAATGGCTGGACAAGCTCATTGGCACAACCGATGAGGACAAGGCAGAGTCTCTGGGCAACCTGAACGAAGGAGAAATCACTGGTGCGTCATTGATGTGTCACTTGGTACTTGCAGCACCGCAAACTTACCGTATCCTTCTCGACATCAGATCTGGGCGCCAAGGCTACACAATTGATCATCCAATCGCCTGATCCCCTACGAGCTCTGGCTCAGCTCTCACATGACTTTCCTGTTCATGCCGTGGGCCTTGCGAGGAGAGCTGCAGGCCCAAAGCAGGAGCTTCTTGAAGAGCTGGAAGAAATGCACACTACCGCGATGGAAGCCGGCTCGAGCGACATCTGGCTGAATGGCAAGGCGCTCGCCGAGAAAGAGATCAGCCCTCTTGGGTGAGTCGGGTGTAGGGCCGGCACAGCTTGTAGCGTAGCATGCTCACATGAGTTGGCGGATGACGGCCAGGCTTCTGGCTCCTCTGCGAGCAGACCAGGCCCATATCACTTCTTTGACGTCCCCTTATCTCAATCTCACGCCTGCCGCCGCGCTTGACCTGTTGACGTACGCTCCGATCGGTCAAGCGCAGGATCCAGACGCGTCTTCAAACGTCTTCTTTGATGCCAGTGATCGCATCGAAAGGGGCATGCCGAGAGGCGCAGCAGCTTCGGTGCCTCAGGCAGCTCCCAAAGACGCGGAGTCGTCTGCGGAAGGATCACGCGATTTGAATTTCCCGCGCGAAGGTGCAATCACCTATCTCAACGATTTGGAGAAGGACAGCATGTACGCGAGTTGGTCTCCCAGTTTGCAAGCAGTGAGTCACAACGAGCTCTGTGGTTGTCTGCTTCTCTCCCTAACGCAATCCTCGCTGCTATCCTTTTGGCGCAGCTCATTCGACCTCTCTGGCCTGGGGCATTTCCGCACATTGCCAAAAATATCTTCAATGTCATCCTGGTGATGGATCTCACAAAGCGAGAGACGTGTGGCTTCCTTGCAGAGAGCTTGTTTCCCACCATCCCTCGCATTGGGTTGCGCTGGGGATTCGTACCAGGGGGCTTGGAAGACCTGGATCAATTCCAATGTGAGCGCTGAGGGGCCGTCACATCCGTTATCTTGTCCACTGAGGATCTTTTACCTTTGCTCCATCAACAGCTCTGCAGATGGCACGCCTGTTCTGGCTACTTCATGCAGAGGTCGGTAATACCGGTGTAGTCGAATGGCTCAAGGCCCTTGTGCACACTACCTCCTCCGGTCAGCAGATCGACGTCAAGCTAGCATTGAAAGAGGCGCGACGTGTGCTCAAGGGCAAAGCAGACGCGCTCAATCCTGAACAGCTTCTGACCGATCCTGAGCTATCCGAGAGGGAGCGCAGCGTCCGAAGCTATGTCAAGCGCTTGCATCTCGACTTGAAGGGCAGCCACGCGCGGGGACATGTGCTGGTGAACGGCCAACGCATTCCCTTCAACGCTCAAGCTTTCAACGCTATCCATTCGCTCGTGTCGACACAAACGCAAGCGCTCGCTCGGCCGGTGCGTCGCGCAAGGCACGCTAATCTTGCAATACCATGAGGCGAGCTGACAATTTTTTGGGTTCGTCTCTGATAGGTCTACTTCCGTCAGATTGATCCCGAACAGGACATATCGCATTACTTTTATGATCTGCCCACCACGTTCACCTCTAGATCCAGTCTGGTGTTCCCCGACGAGGAGATGAGCACTCCTGACAATCCCGCGCCTGCCGCTGTCAAGCCGCGCGCAGTTGACCTTGTGAAAGCGGCGGACACCCTCAAGAACAAAGCGGTTGTAGAGCGCTTCGTGTATTCGCCCGCCTTTGAAAAGGTGAATGCAACGGTATGGGTGGTGGGCGACTTGGATTCTCAAGAGGGATCAAGCCTCGTACGCGAAGCACTCAACGCGCTGGTACGTCACTTTCGAGAGGCTCAAACGGATTATCTGAGGGCTGATCTGCGCCTACCTCATGTGTGCAGTCCCAAAATGCATTTCGTCTTGGCTTTGTGCATGTACCGCGCAGGCCTTCGGAGGCTAGTCGCTTGCAACCCTCAGCAAGCTTGTTGTCCACCTTTTTGCACGACATGTTAAAAATTCCGACGGATCTCAAGTCGAAGCTTGGCCCCGAGAACTTGATCGAATTAGTCGAGGGGTACCAAGGCTCGCTCCGAGACATTGTCACAGAGGGTCGAGTCGAGGGCCAGCAGGTCTTTGGTCATGCAGACCCGCAAGATGACGTCTCGGCAATGAAGGAGAAAGGATGGAACACACCGGCTGCTACTGCAGCAGGACTGTTCTGGGACGAGGCTGCCCCATTCGCGAATGCTTTGGGCATTGATAAGCGAGAATTCGGAATCGTGCTCAACGGCAGAGTGCTGACGGGCTTCAATGCACAGAACATCGACTCGGGCGACTTTGAAGCTCTTGTCTCTCTAGAGTCTCGCAGGCGTATTGATCCGGTCGTCGAAGGACTGTCGCAGGCGGGCGTCCATTTTGAAGGTCTCAACAAAGAAGATCATGCGCAGATAGCAACCTTTGCAACCTCGATCATGAGCTCTGTCTATTACGTCGACGAAGCGGCCGAGGGCATCTTCCAGCCACCGCAGACCGCTCGCAGTTCACTTTTCGATCAGATTGAAGCTCGGCACACTTCATTTGAGAAAGGAGACAGGTCTACCGCGCACACTCGGCTCTTCGTGGCTCTGGATCCCCTCTCTGAGCGCACGCAGTCATGGATGCCCGTCTTGAAGCTCATCGCGAGCATGAAGGATACCTATATTCGCATCATTCTGAACCCAGAGACGAAGCAAACCGAACTGCCGCTAAAGCGGTTTTACCGCTCGAGCGCTCCGACGCAGATGTCGTTCGATGCGTCTGGCAAGCAGCAAGGCTCTAAGCTGCAATTCTTCGGCATGCCGGAGGATGCAGTGCTTACCATGGCGCTGGACACCCCGCCATCATGGCTACCAATGGCGGCGGAAGCGGTGTACGATCTGGACAACATCCGACTTCGAGACGTACCTCTTAGCGGTCGAGAAGCGGGCGTCAATGCGGTCTACGAGCTGAAGCACATTTTGCTCGAGGGTCATGCACGTGAGGAAGGCGTTCCCGGTGCGAGGCAGATACCGCGAGGTCTCGAGCTAGTGCTAGAGTCGCCGGATGGCGCTGTGCAGCTCGACACCATAGTGATGGCGAACCTGGCCTACTTCCAATTCCGTGCGCAGCCTGGCTTGTATCGGTTACGCATTCGAGAAGGAAGGAGTAGTGAGCTTTTCGAGATGCGTAGTGTTGGTAACCATGGTTGGGAAAGCCCAAGCGTGAATCAGACAGGTGATGCTGTCACTGTGGACACTCTGCACGGACTGACCATCTATCCCAGAGTCAAGCGACGTCCGGGCAAGCAAGAAGAAAGCTTGGTGGTTGATCTGGACGAGGATATGCCATCTGGGGAGGAAGACAGCGCAGGAAAGGGACTGCTGGCAGCTGCAAGACAAGCGTTCAAAGCTGCGAAAGGCAAAGCAGATGAGGTGGTGAACAAAGCTGTCAGACCTGTAAGCAAGCGGTCCAGCGCAGATATCAACATCTTCACAGTTGCCAGCGGGCATCTGTACGAGAGAATGACCTACATCATGATCCTTTCGTGAGTGGCTTCGAAATTATATGGGTGATGCATCTGCTTACCAAAAATTTTCGGCCCACGCAATCCAGCGTGCTGAAGCACACGAAGTCTAGCGTCAAATTTTGGTTCATCGAAAATTTCTTGAGCCCTTCGTTCAAGGAATTCATTCCCCATCTGGCCGAGGAGTATGGCTTTGACTACGAGCTGATCACGTATGCGTGGCCTCACTGGTTGAGGGGACAGCGCGAAAAGCAGCGCATAATCTGGGGCATGAAAATCTTGTTCCTAGACGTTCTCTTTCCACTTGATCTCAGCAAGATCATCTTCGTAGATGCAGATCAGATCGTACGATCTGATCTTCAAGAGCTGGTCAAGACGGACCTGCACGGTGGTGAGTAGAGAGTAGCTGCGTTGATCGCTCAGCAATCGATGCGCTCCGCGCTGACGTTTGCTGTGCGCCTTTCCTTCTCAGCTCCGTACGGTTATCCGCCTATGGGCAACGACTCTTACGACATGGACAATTTCAGATTTTGGGAACAAGGATATTGGAAGAATTTCCTGCGAGGCAAACCGTACCACATCTCGGCTCTCTACGTCGTCGATCTGAACCGCTTCCGTCGTGTGGCAGCTGGAGATCGTTTAAGAGGTCATTATCAGCAATTGAGTGCGGACCCCAACTCGCTTGCCAACCTGGACCAAGAGTGCGTGTCGAAGTGTTTGCTGATGTAAGATCTTGCAGACGAAAACACTGACGTATCCTTGGCCCGCCGACAGCCTTCCTAACAGTCTGCAATTCCAGCTTCCCATCTTCACGCTGGACAAGACTTGGTTGTGAGTCATCGCACGTGCGCTTCTCGGAATTGTCGTCGGACAGTGCGGGGGAATTGATACGGCGCTGCGTTGCTGAAACAGATGGTGCGAGACGTGGTGCTCCAAAGATTGGCTAGCACAAGCCAAGACGATAGACCTGTGTCAGAATCCCAAGATCAAATCGACCAAATTGGAGAGGGCGAGGCAGATTCCCGAATGGACGGCATACGACGAAGAAGTGGCACGCTTAGCAAGTCGATTGGCGGGGCAAGACAAGCTGGGGAAGAATGTAGTGGTGGATAAGCAAGAGAGTGTAAAGGAGAAGGAGGTAGAGTTGGAGACGAGTGCAAACTTTGCGCACGAGACGGTGCACCATGACGAACTTTGATGCCGCTGCTGGCGCGCCATGCACAATGCCGAGCACTGGTCCCCTCATTAAATGCATGCGATTGACTTCCATACTCGTGCAT